TTCCTTCCTTCCTGCCTGCCTGCCTGCCTGCCTGCCTGCCTGCCTGCCTGCCTTCCTTCCTGCCTGCCTTCCTGCCTTCCTGTCTTCCTCCCTTCCTTTCTTCTTTCCTGCCTTCCTGCTTTCCTGCCTTCCTGCCTTCCTTCCTTCCTGCCTGCCTGCCTGCCTGCCTTCCTGCCTTCCTGCCTGCCTTCCTGCCTTCCTGCCTTCCTGCCTTCCTTTCTTCTTTCCTGCCTTCCTGCCTTCCTGCCTTCCTCCCTTCCTCCCTTCCTTTCTTCTTTCCTTCCTTCCTTCCTTCCTTCCTTCCTTCCTTCCTGCCTTCCTGCCTTCCTGCCTTCCTGCCTTCCTGCCTTCCTGCCTTCCTGCCTTCCTGCCTTCCTGCCTTCCTGTCTTCCTCCCTTCCTTTCTTCTTTCCTGCCTTCCTGCCTTCCTGCCTTCCTTTCTTCTTTCCTGCCTTCCTGCCTTCCTGCCTTCCTGCCTTCCTCCCTTCCTCCCTTCCTTTCTTCTTTCCTTCCTTCCTTCCTTCCTTCCTTCCTTCCTTCCTTCCTTCCTGCCTGCCTGCCTGCCTGCCTTCCTGCCTTCCTGCCTTCCTGCCTGCCTGCCTGCCTGCCTGCCTGCCTGCCTGCCTTCCTGCCTTCCTGCCTTCCTGCCTTCCTGCCTGCCTTCCTTCCTTCCTTCCTTCCTTCCTTCCTTCCTTCCTTCCTTCCTTCCTTTCTTCCTGCCTTCCTGCCTTCCTGCCTTCCTGCCTTCCTGCCTTCCTGCCTTCCTGCCTTTCTGCCTTCCTTCTTTCGTTTTTATGTATTTGGTACAGGGTCTCACTCCACAGCTTGGACTCATAGTGATCCTCCTGTTTTCAGCCTCACCAGTGCTGGGATTACAGGCGTGGCGATCATGCCCGGACTACTCTGGCTGGCTCAGTGAGCATGGGAGTAGGGCTGGCACAGCATGTGGTTCTGGGGATTGAGCCCCAGTCCTTGAGTTCGCTTAAACAGGCGCTTAGTCTGCAGATGTATCTCACTGGCCCTTGATGCTTTCATAAAAACAAACATGATCAAACCAATGAGTGGACATGGAGCAAACCCTCCAGGGGCATGAGCTGTACGTTCAGCATCCTGGAGACAGTCATGGTTATTTCTGAGTAGCCAGCACCTACGACAGCCTTGCCTCTTGGCATGTAGCTGGAGTAGTCACACTGAAATGCCACAGTTTCTCTGGAGCAGCTGAGTTTAGAAAGCAATCTCAGTGTTGCTGCCATTGCCACAGTGACTTCTGTGCAGGTGTCGTAGAGTTCATGCCCCAATTTGATTCCAGATACTAATGTGAAATTTTTGATCATCTCAACGCTGTGTATCACAGCAAGAGTTTGAAGAAAGACTGATATTTCGAAGATGTTGAGAAATAAATGTTTTTTGAATGTAAAACACAACTTCTTTTGTTTATTTATTTATTTATTTTTTTAGTTTTTCAACAAATAATACACTGCATACGTTCTTCTTAGTGGTTAATTGCTGTACAAGATGCGGACTTGTGATCCTATTTACAAACACCATTAGAACAAATCATTCTATTCATTAA